TCTCGTATAGTAAAGAAGATCCTCTTGAGTGTCGTGATATCCTTCATGTTGATGTGTAACTTGAACTTCATAATAGATAAAAGACAGATTTGTGATATTCCTTTAGAACAAAGACTTTCCAAATATAACTCTATTCAAAACAAGGGAATTTAATTGTCGATAGAGATGTTTCAGAAGCCTTATAAACGAATAAATCCAAGTTTGAAAAAAAAACGATCTACTGTACATCAATCGACTCGCTTATCTTGAGTGAATTTAAAAGAGGGAATGAAAGTCATGTGAAAATGGCTTTCTTGTTTCGCATTTGTACAGTTTAATATTTGAGATACAGTGTATCCTTGCATTCCCACAAGACCACTTTGGAAGAGCGTTATCAGGTAACTCATTACATCTTTGGCAGGGGCCTGTGGCGCAAGCATTAATTTTGAAATTGCCCAATATAGAGTCGAGTTACGCCTTTTGTCTGTACCTCAGTCGGCATTCCATAATCGGGAAGATCAATTTACCTTATTTTCTACTTCGCGCACCAACGTGGTTATTCGGTTTTAAGACCTAGAACGACATAAAGTGCCAGATTGGAGTTGAAGATTTCCATAAGCTTAAGCTTCCGACCGGAAGATTTTCTCTATGGTTATAGTTATTGTGAGTCTGTTCAGATTGTTGGATTGTGATCCAATTATAGGACTAGGTCATGGACTAAACTATTATAGAATTGAACTAAATTACTAAAAATTGACTTTAATTAAATGCTTTAGTTTTGTCAAACAAAGATACAGTATACAAAAGTTTGCGTCCCGAATGATCGACGTAGAGTAATATTCGGATTTGTCGTGAATCAAAAAACTTTAAAATTAACTTAAAATATTTAGCATAATAAAGTCATTTTATTTAGAAAACAAGGGTCTTTCTGTTCGTATTAGTCAATATCTAGTTGGATAACCATTTTACTTTTATGACAAATGACTCACTCTACGATACATATAACATTACTAATCAGATTTTTCAATAAAACAATTTTAAATCATCACGATTACAAATCTCTTTTTGATAAAACAATCTTAATTCAAAATTTAATTATTCTTATATAATCAATCCCTTCACGAGTTTATATGATGTTGGTTAAATTTAAAATGTGATAAATACAATACGATATTTATTTTTTATGTGTATGCAATACAATATATTGGTTAAATAATATCAAATGAATCTCACTAGATTCATCCAAATCAGTTATAATACCGTATATTGTACTGTATAATCAAAGTATCAAGATATTTTATTTTTAGAATTATTAAATCTTTCTTTTTAATTATTATCTATTTGATTAATTTTATATAAAATGTTAAAGTATTTACATGCTAAAAATAAATTTGATCAAATATACAATATACCGTACATACAGTACATATATTTTTACTTTGTTCTATTAAAAATTATTTCTTATAATAGTGTTATAAAAAAAAATTAATCAATCAATTACAATATTTAATTGCTTATTATATCGTTTAAACTATATTATGTTTTGTAATAAAAATATTATCAAAATATTATTCTTGAATATTAAATTTGTGATTTTTATTAATATATGTTGTTATATGTTGTGTGTTAATTTTATTATGAATTTTTTTAAAAAAATTTTTTTTAAGAAAAAAAATCACTTAATTATAAAATTATAATATATATATATATATTATAATAATATTTATTAATTTGTTTAGTTACAGTATATAGATTTATTTTTAAATATGAAGCTATTTTTTAAATTTTGTTTTCTTCTTATTTACATATAATAGTTTATTTTTATTTTTTTTATATTTAATATTTATAGTAATTTATTATTATTATTATTATATTTTTATTAAAAATATAAAGATAAAAAAAAGTTTAAAAAAAAGTTAATTGCTTTTTAAAATTAATTATATCATCAATTTTTTCACATATAATTACAAATAATAAATTTTTTAATAAGAAATTATAATATAAATAAATATCATTAATATAAATACCATATATAATACAATTATGTTTTTAAAAAATATATTTAAAAAAACTTTTTAATATAAAAGACATATACAATATATGATCTAAATAAATATTAATACTAAAAATAATATTGGTATTTGATAAAATTGGTATATACAAATTATAGTAATTTAGATAAACTCATATTAATTAATTAATAGAATTTTTTAGATTTTTAATATTTCTTATAAAAAAGGTAAAAAAAATCATAATATTTAAATTAGATCTATTAGAAATATTCGAATAATAAAAAAATATTTTATTATCACGTTCAAAATATTTTAAAAAAAGAAAAGTGTAAATTTATAAATAATAAAAGATTATTATTAATATTGAATAAAAATATATTAAATTATTATTTAAATTTATAAAAATAAAAAATTGATATTTATGAAAATTAAAATATAAGTAAATATTTATTTATTGTGTTGTATTTAAAAAATATAATAAATTTGTTAAAATTAAAATTAATAAAAGTTTAAGAATTAGTAATAAAATTATTTTTCTTTATTAGTCATTCTTTATTATTTAAAAGGGTTAAACTGATTTTTGATTTTGAGATCAATCACATTTTTAGGCGTGTCAAGATGATAGAATATGGATACTGTATATTAGAAATAATAACTCGAGATGTTGCGTAATTGTACTGTAATTGTTGGAAATCAATTGTTTCATTCATTCATATCAATGAGTGGGTATTACTTTTATTATTAAATTTTTATGAAAATTATTTTCAACTGTATTTTTAATTATTAATTAATACATCATTAGTTTTTAACATCATGTAAATAAAACATGTACATACATACAGTATATTAGCCAAGATTTATTTTTTGTAGATTCGAAAATAAATAATATCGAGATTGAAATATTGTACATGTTTTCATAGAATCCATAATTCGGATTAGTGCAATATAAACAAAAATACCTTAAAACTATTATGTCGTAAAATGGCGCTAGTGATCGAGACACTAGACAATACATCGTGGTCACCATTATCAATGCAAAATACAATAGTTAGTATACAGGTCATAAAGTATTACGGTATATCTTGTGGTGGCGCGTGGTTTCACGTGATCGGTGGCGAGTGTCATGGTGTTTTTTTTGTTTTGAAGAAAGCATCAACAACAAATTGATGTGTTTATTGGATGTAACGATTGGTCGTCACAATTGCTCCAGAGATGCTTCATTGTTTGCCTGATTAGACAAATTTCTCGCGTCGCGATGCGATCTGGAGGTGGGGCTCCTGTGGGTTTAACCGGTGATCCAATTCCAAATTTTTGTTTTACGAACGCATTATGCCGTCGAGAAAGTAATTTCTCACGCTGTCCTTGTTTACCATTGATGTATCATCAATTCCATGCCGAATTAATTATATTTGGACAAAAATGGAATATCCTCGCTAAACAATCCCCGGAATTCATGAATTATTCCGTGGTCTCGTCATTTTTCGGAGTTTTAGAAATGTTCATTTGTTCCACTTCCTTATTTGAACAAAAATGGCGGGAGATTTGTGGCACGATGTATTGCATTCGTGCTATATGGCTAGTAGCAAACCCATGTGCATGAAGACGACCGAATGCGTAAAAAACTAATTTTCCGGTAAAGACCCTAGGAAAAAAAAAAAAAAAAATCAAAAAAAAAAACAAACACATACTTGAACAAACAGATATCCTCGCCAATTAAGAAGGCGGCTGGTAGGAGGCGGGGGAGTTGCACAAAGCCCCAACGCTGGGATCACCAAAAATGTCTATAATATCCGGATCATGTTCAATTGAAAATTTCCGATTTACACACAAATCTCCGGAATTTGCATCCAAAATTGGTTAAATAAAGTGGGACAAAGATATTCGGGGACGTACCAAAAGAGTATACCGGAATTATAATTCCGTTACTGATCACTAAATTCGATTGTGCAAATGAAAGTCAAGTTTGGAGTGCAAAATCCGAGAGAAAAATGTTTGTTTGCAAATATTTTTTTCGACTCACATCTAGCACGACCAATCGATAACTTAAATCCCAGAGTATCAAATTTGCAGATTTGATTGAATGATAATGCGCATTGGGAAGTACTGTATGGAATTCCGAAGATGAACGAACATTGCCTTGACAAATGGGGGTTCGCACCCTCTAGATAATAATTCGTTGCAAATATTAGTCGCGACGTGGTCACGACTGGTTACATTGTGTCTCAAACCAACGCGATTGAATCAGTGCCGGAGTTATGATACGACAAATACCGCGACGCCAAAGGAACTAAAACAATCAATCATGCATACCGTATCTTCACGAATGATCTCGATTTAATTGACACAGTAAATGAGGGATCCGTCCTGACTTGTAGAACACAGTGAAACCGTGGGACAATGTTATGGAATGATGATATTTCCAAAATTTTACAATCGAAACTTTCATTTCACGCAACCCCGATCGCACAAGGTAGAAACTTGGAAGGTCATCACAAGATCAGGCAAATCGCAAACTTGGAATCACACGCATTATGTGAACATATTTGTAGAAGATCGGATTTAAGAAAAAAAATTTTTTTTTTGTTGAGATGAAAACCTGATTGATAATGCTGTGAAAGAAGAAGGATCAAGGAAGTGTTATGTGATTGAGGTGATATCTTTGGAATTTTTGAGGAACGTTACAGGATTGATGAACATCATTCGTCTCGAGTTTAAATGGATATTTTGTATGAACAGGGTTTCCCGAATATATGCCCGATCGATGAATTTGGTATTGACGTGATCTCTGCCATTATGTCACTCGTGAATAACACCTTCCACATTACCTTCTTCATTCATCATGTTGCTTGTCATTCATGTGAATCTCCCCTGCTGCACCTAGTCAATACCCGTAAAAGAACATTGTCCTATTTTTATTATTTTCTTTCTTTGAAAGAGGTACACATTCTTTTTATAACCTACCAAACTTATTTTATACTAATCAACTCAGTTACCGGTGAGACAATGTTTATGCTTTTCTCACACCTGATATTTGTGTCAGGCATTCCGGAATTGAGCCTCAGAAATTCCGTGGTTCGAATTAACCAAAAGTTATCGAGGAGCGAGGAGAATTAACAAAATATTCGTGCACTTGCATAATAATAATGAAACCTTTTCTATCTTTATTAATGAAATATCAAGAAACGTAATACATAGAGTTTTCATGAAATCTTTAATTGATAGGATAATGTTGGATAACTCATCAAAGTTCTTACGGTTTATAAAGTGATTGGAAAATCGTAATTGCATATTATGTTGCTTTATAAGATAATTCGACAGGTGAGCAAAAGCAATGTTGTGGTTAGAAGTTTTGACAAGTATTCCATTTACGGTACAATCCAAGAGTGTTTGCAATGTTCTTTGAACGGAGAAATCGTTGAAGGAGGAAAGACATATACGTGATACAAAGTGACAATTAAAGTTAATTTGTGGCATTATTATTATGATGAATTCCGATTTCAATATCGGAAGATTTGGTTTCTGCGAATCCCGAATCTTTACGCAACGTATAATCCAATTTTGACGAAGTTGTTTTCTTTGTGGATGCGACGCCAGAAAACTGAGGGAGCTCCGATGGTTCATGACAAAAATTATCGGTGATGGTGGGTTTAGGAGGAGGCATCATGCTTGTAGTGCTGATCACGAGTTTTTGTAATTCCTCGAGACTACAAGCCTTCAGATCAATATTTCCAAACCTCCAAGTAGTGTTCTGCGAAGAATAGCTTTCATTGCGCTTTTTTTTGTTTTTTGTTTTTTTTGGCAAATGGTTTCAACCGCGACAAAAAGTTGGAGATAGAAAATTTTTTTTTTTCGCGTTAATCGCATGGGTTATTATAATAAAACGATGTTAGAACTACGTCGCTTGACTTTCACTTTCGCCAAAAAATGATAATAATAATAAAGTGATACATATATGTATATATTCTAGACACACACATATACTTTTTATGTATGTACCTTTGAAAAACTTGCTGTGGTATTCGCGAGCTCACTGACCAATTGCTCGATTCTTTCCACCCGTGCCGATAACATTTTCACATTATTCGTGCTTTCTTTACATCTAATACAAGTTCTAAATGGTTGCTTTTCCGATACACACGATGGTCTTCCCAACGTGGTAACTTTTACTTTCTGGACACGTGCATGGGTCACGCGTGTTTTGCGAGAATTTTTGGTTCGATTGGTTGAAGGAGAGGATTTTGAGGTGACGGTAATGGAAGATTTATTAGTCATGATATTCAGCAGGTGACAGGAAAAAAAAAAAATGTTAAAAGAGTGTTGAATCCAATGTAGAAAAAAGTTTGATAATTTCGTGTAGTGTATTTGACTTTGTGTGCTGAGTATTATGTTCCTGTACGTTGGCGAAAGTTATTGATAGAGAGCAAGCTATTTTGTACATATACCTAAACTGTCGATATACTATTCTATGTTGTGAGGTATCAGTATCGCCCGTGAAAATTTTTTTTAAAAAAAGTGTCTCCTTATATACTTACCGTACATTTGTTTACACGTGTAACATCAATATAATAATAAATATAATAAGTCGGAGTTGAAATTCCACAATTTATTATATAATAATAATTGATATACATAAAGGTAGTGCATTTAATACTGTACATTAAACAAAAAAAAAAATTAAGAAACAAATTTTTCATCCATCCCAGCTGATGCTCGATTCACATGGCGAGTTTATCTGATGAAACCGATCCGATTGCTAGGATTTCCTTATTCGTTTCGAAATTTGGGATCTTTCGGTAATGTGTCGGTAATGTCCATAATGTCCAGGAAAAACATTTAAAAACGCTTTCGATTTCAGCCGATTTTATTTTTTTACTAATCGAAATCAAAAAAACAAGAACAGGTGAGCTATTGTCCAATGTAAAAAAAATTTATCCATATACTACCAGAAATGGAAAACAAGTGGGCTGGATAAAGATGGGTGTAGTAATGATGAGATCCGTGCGTCGAAAAAACCACCCACATTAATAAAAAGGTCGTGGCCTTATATTCACGCTTTGCGCGAAAACATGAATACAAAATTGATTCATTGTTTATTCTGACTTTACGAATTGAAAATTCCTCGATTTTTGGAGTTTCCATTTCTCACGTGTACCAAAAAACATGTGTATGGTAATTACTTTAAAAGGGCGGTTTTCTTTTTGTGCTCCAACCAAGACATACAAGACCTCTTTTTTTCTCGACAACGCTAAAATGTGCAGCACAGAGACTCTTTGATTTCACGCTTGAGTTTGCCAATCACATGATTGAGATTTTCCATAGTTGATTTTGTCACAAAGTACCAAAGTACGCGTGTGTCAATGTCTTTGTCGTCGTTTCCTCGCGGTTCCACATGTAGTGTGATGTCACTAATCCGAATCATGCCTCAATATGAGCTGACGAACAGACTGACATGATTATCCCAGAGATCGTTCGATCCATGTGCTCTACTAGATTTTCTGTCAACTGGTGTGTGTCTCATCAATCTGCACATCACACACCCCATTGTGATTTCTCTTTCGGGTCTGGCATAGTAGCATAGCATAAAACGATTCTATTTCTGCTTTTATGGCTAATTAATGGTTTTAACCACAAAATCTGCAATTACGTAATTACCATTAATCGATTCCTGTAACATGTCTCATGCAATGGCTTTCAAGGCTTTTTTACATGTTGGGGTCGAATGTGTTCGATATTTGTCTGTAAAGCTTGCCCGTATGACTCAAGATAAGAATTCGTGTCCAGTGAATTTTCCACGTTCAAACTTTCCTTTATTCTGAATAATTTTATTTATCATAACAAAAAGTCACGCGCACGGAGTTCAACTTCCTCGTGCGACCTCAATAAGGTGTACATCTAATTTGTGTGGGCATGCAAAAAGGTGTGTATTTTTATATTAGTTCCACGATCCGTGACATCCGAAATGATTTGGGTTGTATGTTACATCGAACCGAGATCGCAAGACACGGCAAAGTCCCGGTCTATTGAAAATTCGTTGTTTATCCACTTCGGCATGCTCAATTTCTCGAGATTAAAGATTGGAGTTCGATTTTTTTTTGTAGATGCGCATCTAACCAGTCGGCTTTCTGTCAACAATAAATAAATTCAAAAGCCCGCACCTTGATTCGAAATTATTTGGTCCAAGGAAATCCTTTAAATTTCATCCTTAAAGTCTTTTTTGGAAATTAGGCGCTCCTGCGATTGGTCATATCGATATACTGTACTTAATATACCTTATGTACTACGGTTACCAAGTTTTATTTATCTGCAACAATGTGAGATCTTTATAATTTAAGAAGGTCGAATTGTTAAATGTTTACCCCGAACATGCAAGAATATCCATATGAATGGGCGAAAACGTTTATCCACCCACCCACGGTACTTTGATTGACAAATGGGTAAAACGTCGGTCCTCCCCTCCTTCACAAAAGATTAAAGACATAATAATAATAATAATAATAATAATAATAGCGGTGAATGTCATTACACCATGTAAAGAAAAAATAGGTGACTTGAGATGTGTGGCTGTGTTTGTGTGAGAGAGGCTTGGTCTTTTCTAAAGCTCAGCCATGCCAAGTGACAATCGTTCTGGGCATCGCGACATTCCGCTTATCATGTTGACGACGGGATTCCAAAATGATCTTTCTGGAACAGTTCACGTAAAGATTTTTTTTTGTTGTTCTTTTTTATTTCGCTACAAAGGCTTTTGTTTGCCTAATCTTACTCGGAACATCGAATCCTTCCTTCAATCCAATAACGAAGATGCTTGATATTCTTCGTTCACGTGATCTTAAACTTACCTACGGATTAATATGTTAATGAGCCATCAAAAATCACGCGATTTCCTGTAAATTAAAAAGAGACGTCAAACCAATTTCCATCGCGTTTTCAGGATACCCTTAGCCCCAATCATCTGGTTTTGCACCTCCTTTTGCATCTTGGACTATGTGCGCACTTATCGTTCTTTGAAAAAAGACCGGCGCGTAAAGTAATTGAACCTCACCGAGGTTTTTTCATGATAATTGCCAGTGATCGGAGTATCTTTTTCTTTCTTTTGGAACTTGATGGCATTCGCCTGTGTTAAAGCGGCATCGACGCGCGACCGCCGATTTGTTTCGGATATGCCGATCAGTACTCCGACCTTTGTATTACCTATATTTATGCATTCCGCCATACAAATTACTCTTCCGCCTGTTTTCCGCTTATGTGGAAAATAACCTCCGCCCCGTTCCATGAAAACCTTCCATACATTAATACATTTAGCATTAGCACAATAGTTGATCGACCTGATGGTACCTTACATATTTAGATGCATTGTTTTCTTTCTTCTCTTTTCTATTCTATTCTATTTTCTTTATTTCCAACAATTGGTGATATGATTCTCAAAAATCACGATAGAAAATATAACATCACGTGAAATAACTGAGCGAAAAAGGTTCTGCAATGTGTAATCGCACAATCTTTATGGAACCTCATGAATGGACAATACGGGCGGCATCCTTGTTAATCACCTAATCATCATGCAAGATTGTTCAAAGTGCGCGACACGACGCCGTAAAATGAATGACACGCACTTTTTATTGGAATTAAGTTTATTTTATTTTATATTCTCAGAAAGTTCTATACATTGGAACATCGGCTCTTTGACCGATTAAGGATAAGGCGTGCAAAATATCGCGTCACTAAGCGTCAATATTGGCTGAGCTCTGCCATAGTCAATTCGATTTTTGGTAAAGTGTTTCTATTTGTGCATGGATTCAGTGAATGAGCGGCCGCCCGTAAGCGCGCGTGTTATCAATTAAGACATTATTACGTGTGTTTGAATAATCATTATTTTTCTATCCTACTGTTAAGAAAAGAGGTTTGAACCTTGAAATTTTGAAAAATCAAATGTAACCATTTTCTTTATCATAAAAAAGAAAATATTTCACATTGGATAGGCAGCTTCGACGAAATTGTTGCATGTCCTTTTTTTTTTTACGTCTTAGACCTCCGACCTCACCTCGTTCCCGTTCTCACTTTCGTTCTCGTTCTCATTCCCGATCTCAACATCTTCCAACTTTTGACTTTCTCTAGGCTTTTTTTCACCTTGAAAAGTCAAAGCGGAATTGTGCATTGCTTGGGGTTGAATAAGTTGGTATGCCTCTACTATAATTCGATAACTGCTCGGTGGTCCTGGTTCGTGAACGATTTCAAATCTCAATCCACCTTGAGCCACTTCGGGATGACAAGTCACAAACCTAGCAAGTTTATAATTTCGTGCGTCTATAATGCCGTAACCAATATGACTATATTCCTTCACCAATTTTCCGATGACTGGGATGGCCGGCGACACTCTGGCAGGTAAATCGCCCGATCGGTAGAATGTGATTTCGAGTTTTTTCTTGAAATCCACGCGGGCCTCAAAGACAGCTTCCAAGATCATATCAATAAAACTATCCACTCTGGATGTGGCCGCTTCAATTATTTGTGCATGACCCTTGCGAAGCTCGATCTTGAAAAATGTCAATTCGCGATAAATGTCGTCAACTGAAGGTTCGGTTGAGCTGGTCGGCCAGGTTATCTTTCCATTGCGATAGAATTGCATAATGTACTTGAAAACATTGTAATCTCTGTCAAAGAAAATTTCTTGCACTTCGCTTAATATGTCCTCTTGTTCCTCACTGAATATTTTTCCGAGTAGAGTGTTCGGATAGGCTGTAAGCGTGGAACGATACGTTTCAAACTGGATAAATGATTTCGACGATACGATTAGAGAGCATACACGGTATGATCTTGACGATGTTGACCCATTTTTACCTTTTTTCCGCCCACGTTTAACACAACGCGTTCATTTGACTGCATTTTTTCTAATTCTCTCACAGCCGCCTCTTCTGGTGTAATCCTTTTCGTGGTATCCCTAAAAACCTCTTCAGCAAAGAAACCTCTTGGCGACGTTACCACCAGGGGTTCAGTTATATGCCTCCGTTTTATTCTATTCGGCGTCGGGTGTTCGGATGCACGTATTGGTTTGGGGGTGTGAAATTCTCTTAAATGCTGCAAAACCGATATGCTACGCCGAATACGAGACGCTCTACTTTTGCGGAAAAAATGAAGTGTGATACCATTTCCAGGTCGATTGTTTGAATGCCCTACTAACCTAACGAGAAGCATTCACTTACCTAAGACTTGATAGCATTCTTATTTTTGATTTTTATTTATTATTTCTTTTGTTATGGACGTAAGTTGTGAAGATTGAGAATAAAAATTTTTATCAAGGTTACACATCTTCATCTGTGAATCACGATAATTAATGTGTTGCTGGCATCATGTAACTCCGGCCGTGAGATTTCCAAGGTAGCGTTTTTTTTACTCGAGTCTCTCTCTTAATCTTGCCTCTAATCATCCATCTGCCTGTCATGCAAATAGACTTTTTACAAGTCAAATAAAAAGCATGGAAAGCATTCGTTTAATTCAAGAGTCGTTTATTTAAAACGAGTTATCGATAACATGGCAATATTAAATTTGATTGGCAAAGTTTTACCAGTGCACAAATTTTTAAGATAGAAATTTTTAGAACTCCAACTACAATTTTACACATTAGAAATTTTTAGAATAAAGAATTAAACATTAGTTCAAAAAGTCAAAAAGTTTGTAAGGTCAAAAAAAATAAAATAAAATAAAATCATTCATAATGCTCTAGCATCTAATTAAAAAAGATTCCGACACTAAAAATAAATATAAAGAAAAATAAGTCTATATACTTTATCTACACTTGACTCTCTTGTATCGTTATAGGATGCGACTGATCATTAGTGGGATTAGGTATATTTTCATTACTGTGCTTTGATTCATTATTTATTACTACGAGGCTATCTGAAGAATTTTGATGATCTCCTGAGCTCTCATGCGCTTGCAATTTGTTTGGTGATGACTCTGCTGAAATTTCGGTGGCTTTGGTTTGTGGAAAAATTTCTTGTTTCAAGTCGGGTAAAAACTTATCCACTTTTTCCCACGTAACATCCCAGAGTTCCATACGTGGTTTATTGCTGAGAAATGCTTCATCAGGTGTTGATCCCGGTGGACTAATAATACCTGAATGTGACATCACCAATAGCATATTTTTTAATGACTCGGGAACCGCTTCACGCTGTAATTACAATCTGAAGGTTAGCTTCGTTGGAACCGCTACCGAATCTAATCTCACCAGCAGCTTACCAATGATTCATTGTCGCCCGTCGCCATATAACGCCCCATCACATCCAGAATCTGTGACCACAATGACGGCAGTCCACCCCACTCGGCCATTCTATTTAAGTAATGCAGGAATATCTTACACATCAAGGCAGAAGCGCGCATTCTTGTTTCTTCCATCCCAATTGGGTCAGCACGAAAGATTTCGGGCTTAAGCAATTGATCCAGTAGAGGAAACAGGACCACTTCAAAGATGACAACCCATTCCATAAAACCTCCATGCGATACTAGCTCAGGATCGAGTAGTGATCTCTGAAGAAAAGAAATTGCATATTGTCTAACTTCACGACACGGATTATAGCATTGCTGGCTGAAACCGGTAAGAACCGGCAACCAATAGTTCGACCATGCTTTAAGAGTCATTGTAAATATTGTGAATTAAATTTTTCTCAATGCAACCCAGAGTCTTATGATCATCAACCTTACCTTCGTTCTGTGGAGTCTTTGATTCTACCAGTAATTTCGGTATCTCGGAATACAAGAGATGCAATAATTCCACTGCCTTTCGTGCTCTATCAATTATCGCCGATTGACTGTATTTTAAACATTTAATATTTTAAAATTTCTTGAAGGGATAGGCACATAAACATCCTGTAATGGAAAAAACTTACGTTTTTGATGTACGAGATCTCGGTGTTCTCATGTGTGAATCCGAATCCTGTTCCAATGCGTAAGATGCAGCGGACGCAAATTCCGCCAAAAGTTCCACACATTCATTAAAGTTATCACTATTAATATTTTTACTCTCTCGCACTAAAGAGGTGACTGCATCAAAAGAGTATTTAGATGCTTGAGGATGAGTCGCAGTTTCTCGAAGAAGAGTAAATACAGTTTCCCATGGTTTTTTTCCTCTGATAAAAGGTGCATCAAATTGACATTTGTTAATTTTAACTCGAAAAGGCGGTTAAAACCTAGAACTTACCTGATATAGGTTGCGTCCGATTTTATCAAGTTCAAGATACCAGCCATCATCTGTTCACCCACGGAGTTAATGACTTCATGCGGCAATGTTCCTAAAAGTTCTATCGCTTGAAGTATATCGGAAACCATTTCATCCTATGTCAATTTTAAATTTATTAGAAACTTGCGGTACAATTTCTGATAATAAATGGTTTCAAATCCACCTTATGCGTTAACCGAATACATAATCTCAATAAAGCAACCACTACACGTTCGACTAACAAAACGCTATTATTCTGGGAATCCTTTAGGATATCGGTTATATGTTCAAATAATATCGGCCTTTTTAAGTAAACAAGTAAATAATGAAATAAATTATTAAGAATTATTTTTCCTGATATATAATATTGAGCAAATTAATAAGTTTGAAATACCATAAATATTGGATTCTATCACGATTTTGCAATGTAACATTGATCATGAGTTCCAGGAAGAACACCGCAGCTGGATCGTAAGAACCACCACTAGATGAGGTTTGAGATGTGGTCGGGCTAGGGGAAGGTGACAAATAGCTAAGTTTAGAATCACCAATCTTGGTAGCCGTGTTGCCGTCTGCAATGAACTTGAGGGATTT